AAGTCACAATGACTGTAGCACCGGGTTCTAATGTCAAGAGTTACTTAAAATGATAAAAGAGGGAAAATTGTGAGCAGGAGTCATAAATTTGATTGCATGGTGACTTCAGTGAATTTGCTCTCTTTTAATGTATTTTCCTTTTTGAAGGTAATTTAAATGTCCAAAGATATGAACCGTGTTTGAGAAAAGAAATCTAGCACAGTGGAAAGGGCAAAGATGCATGTGGTATGAGATTTGGTTCTAGTTTTCTCCTTCTCACTGTAAGCTGTGTGATTTGGGCATGTGGCTGAACCACTCTGAGCTCTGGATGTGTGAGTTGGTCCTGATTGTGACCTTCATTATTTGTGGGGTTATTGGAGTCGGATATACTTGAATTCAGACAGCTATGCTTCTAAGTGTATAGTCTTTTAATTTAAAGTTGAATGTATTAGGGTTACACTGGTTCACAAAACCATATAGGTTTCAAGTGTACAACTCATCAAAATATCACCTGCACACTGCATTGTGTGCCCATTGCCCCAAGCAAAGTCTTTTTCCTCCATTCTCATTTAGCCCCACTTGCCCACCACCACCTACCCCCAACCCCTTTCTCTCTGGTTATCACCACAGTTGTCTGTGTCTATGTGTTATATGTGTGTGTGTGTATGTATATAATCTTTTATAATCTGCAAAATGACCATTATAATTCCTCTTTCCCTAAATTTCTTTCAGGATTAATGAAGACAATGAATATGCAAAGTGCAGCACCAGACATAGAGTCCAACCCTTTTTTAAAACATCCATTTGCACCTTTCCAGTGGTTTGGATTCATTTAAAAGAAAATACCTAAATAAATAAAGATACTCAGGTAAGAAGAGCTGCTTGATGTGCTAAAACTTCCTTTTCTATAAAATGGGAAGTCAGTGGTTCTTAGCTCTGGTTGCACATTTGAATCACTGAGGACAATTAAAAACATTTCCAAGTGTGAGGCTCCTCTCCAAAGACTGATTTAATTAGTGTGCTGTGGTACTCTGGCCTTGAGTTTGTGAAAGCCTGCAGGTGTTTCTAATGTGTACAGGATCAAATCATTGCTTCTCAAACTTTAACACAAATTACCTTGCAATCTTGTTAAAATATAGACAGTTCTTCCTTAGGTCTTCGGTGGGGCCTGGATTCTTCATTTCTAACAAGCTCCCTGATGAAGGTTCTGATGTTGCTAGCCCAGGACCACACTCTGAGTAGCAAGAGATTAATGATCCATAATGGTGGTTCCCAACCAGTAGTGCTCATCAGATTTACCCTGCTGGTTGTTGAAAATGCAATCTTGGGACTTGGATCTGGCCCTCACAAATTCTGTTTCACTTCCTTTAGGCAAGGACCAAGAGAATCACTGATCTGTAATGTCTATTTCAACCTAAAAATCCCATGATGATGCTAATTTTATGATTTTATATTATGACTTTTTCCTAGTTCAGTTGTTCAGTAAAATAAACAGTCTGAAGCTGAGTTATGTGAGATATCATTGTCAGAACCTGAAAGATGGGTGGTTTCAAGTAGTGTGATGTCAACTCTCAGCTGCCCTTTATGCCTTGTGTATCTTCAGCCACCAGAATTCTCCACTTGAGTTAATGGAGTCCTTCAAAGAGCTCCCTCTGTGTGAGCAGGATTTACTCTTGACAAACCACTCACAGATTAATCAGGAGAGCATCCTTCACCAAGGAGAGATGAACAAATGACCCTGGGCTTTTTTCTGCTCTCTGCAACACATCATGTATCTAAAGCAGAATCCCTGGAGACATGGGCTCATCTTCCTCATCTTGGCATCAAACCAAGGAAAAGTAAAGGTGGGAGAAAATAACAAGCTATATTACTCAGCAAAGCAGGCAAGTGACCTTAGAAAATCTCTGGGACTTCCAGAAGAAGTAGCCCCAAATTAGAAAGAATAGCTTTTTCACCTTCTTTTTCTTCTTCTCACCTTCTTTCATTACTCTTGCTCATACTAGCTAGAAATATTCTCATCTTAGGGACAGACTCTTACCACTTTACAAGAAAAATTCAAAAAGTGTATTAAAGTAAAAATATTATAATTCTGGTGTTATTGCTTTGGATAAACATTTTGCATGTTATTAACATAGAAGGAGTTGGCTTCCAAGAAGTTTCTGAATTTGTAAATAAGTTGGTATAAGAATGGTAATATGGAAAATGAGAGAAACTCATATTTTCTTGCTTTCTCCTTTAAAAGTATTTGCACCTATAAAAACACTTAGTCAATCTGTAGAAATATCTATATGAACTGTAGTGTGGACAACTCAAAAAGATAATCATCACACACCAGTTTAGCTGACCATGTCCTAGGTCACCCACATTACACAAGAAGGTACCAGAAAAATGTGGCTACTTGACCTTACTAACATCCCTTTGTTCCTGGGTTGGGCTGACCAAATAGAGAGCCACCATGCATTTGTGATTCAGCAGCAGCACATGGCCCCACTTGCCTCAAATGCCTTTCTTAAGAGCAAGCTCCCATGCTGACCTCCTTCTGTTGGTCCTCAGACCTCTACCCTTTCACTTGGAGTAATTTATCAGACCACACGTCTGGTTATCTAGGGAAGACTGTGGCATGTGTTCTGAGTGGAAGGAAGCAGCTGTGAAGGAGCTGGAGCAATGCAATGACAAGCCCCACATTATAGTGACAGTGGAGGCCTGGAAAGGAGACTCTGGTGGTGACCAGGCCTCAGTAGTGGGGCTCCGGATAAGGAGTTGGAAGGAAAGGGGCTCTAATATTCCAAATGAAAGGAAAGACTAGGTAGACAGGGAGTACCAAGACAAACTTCCATTATTTTTCAGGTTTTTTCTGAGTTACATTTTGATGAGGCAAGGAAATGATCACTGTGCTCTAACATTTAATTTTAAAAGTTTACCCCAAATAGGAAGTTAAATTCCTGTCAGCCCACATTTATTTGCAAGGCAGTGGCTTCTTTTGACATCTCAAACAGAGGAGAGATGGCCTTTTGCCAGGGATGTTTATTTTATTGATTTGCTTATGTATAGCATCTCCTATGTTGCAAAAACTGTTTTAAGCACTTTGAAGTCTCACCTCATTAATGCAGTTAACAACTTATAAATTAGGCACCATTATTTGCAGAGGAGGGACCTAAAGATCAAAGAAATTATTTTGCCCAGATTTTCTGTGTCAGACCCAGGATTTGAACCTAGGCAGTCAGGGTTAAGGGTGTTACCCTGGACCACTGTATTATCTTGCCTCTTAAACAAAGGACCGTGTTCCTGCTGGACTGGATGAACTGTTTCTTAAATGTTCCCTAGACTGGTGTGCCTGCTAGGCCATCATCATTGGAGCTCTTGCTTAAAATTCAAACTCCTAAGATCTACACCTGGATTTCTGATTTAAGAAGTCTGGGATTTTTTTGGAAATAGACCTAGATGATGTTCAAGGAATCTCCAGTCTTAGTACAAGTTGAAAATTCTTTGATTGAAACATCATTCTTATTACCCTAAAATGAATGTCATATCAGAAAGCAGCAGTAGCTTATGCTACCACCTCCCATACATTTTCTAGTCATTCCAACTCTGGTGTCTAAACCTGTCACTGATGCTGACAATTCTGACCACTCCACCCCCAGCTCCATCTGCTGACAACCACCAGATTGCCTTGAGTCCTCTGAGACTCCCACACCCTGCATTTTTCCTTCCGTTAAAAACCCAAAGCCTAGTCTCCTTAAATGTTTAAACTATTTCTACTGCAAGGCAAAGTGGACAAGTTTATTATCTACAATTAATTGCCACCTTCTTTCCCTTGTTCTGCCAAGTCATGCAGCTCAATTCACTCTGAATGGCCGTTCACACTGAATGGCCTGGACCCAGCAATGTTTAAACTTGGGACAGGAGATGGGATTGAGCCCTACCCCAGCCCCCTTTCCCTTTTGTCTTCCATTCACCATCTCTTTCTGATATCTTCTTCCTTGCAGACCCAAAGGATGCTTAAGGTTGTGACCAGTCTACTCTTCTACTTCAGTAACATTTTTTTGTCTTTTTAAGTGGTTGAGAGTAGCAATGCTAGTTATAGACAGCCAGTAGGTGAGAAAAATTAGCTATCATATCACTTTTGTGAATTTAAGCTCTACTGATGAGTGCACTGACCCAAACAGATAAACCATATAAATTCTAACCATTTTTTTTACTTTAAGAAGATTGTATCACACCCAGAAAAATAAAACAGAAAAGGAGGAGGCTTGCAAACCCTCAAGGTTGCCATGAGAAATTGGCTTGAGAGAGAGGTAAAACCCACGTAGAAGACATCACTAGGAAAGCGAAGGCAAATATTATCAGTGCTCTGCGTGAAGTACTGTGACCCCTCAAAGTGAAACAAGCCAGCATTATCAAAACAGCATTTCCTTCTCAGCTCTGTCTTGTGACTTCCAAGAATTCAACTACTTTTCTATTTAGGAATATAGGCATTGCCTTGCTCCTCAGTATTTCAGCTATACCATTTGAGATATGCTCAGCATCAGGTTGCTTTGTCTGAATATCCTAACTATTCTATGGGAAAGAGAAAACATAAAATATGCTAAAAAATTTTCCTGCCTCCTGGGAGATTCCACAAAACAATCCAGCTTCTTTCTGTACTCTATAGTGTGGTGAGAAAACATTCTAAATGTACCCTTGAACAGATGAGTGAGCAAACTGGAGCCTAGCTGACTGTCTTGAAATATTAAATAAAAATGTACACATCAGCAACACTTCACAACAGGCATGTTCCTTACTGCTCCCCAAGTGCAAAGTTAATTCCTTGAGGCAGTGGCTGCATTCATCTAAAATAGATAAGGCAGCTGTGGAAGCTCAAAGCTGATCTCAGGAGTGTTTAATCCAGCTGGATTTCAGTCATATAGGTCAGGGTGCCCTAGGTCCCTTCAACTGCAGTGCCTGCAAACTTCGGGGGTAAAAGCATGCTTGATGCCTTTCAAACTTAACATTTTCTCCCTTTCTCCCATTTTATTTATTACCTTGAGCTCCTTGACTGTAGAAGAATCTTTGAGCCGACTCAACATCCAAGAGTCTATGAGCAGACTCGACATCCAGAAAATAATCCATTTTGGGATAATCCATCCTTGATGTTTCAAAAGCAGAGTTTTAAGACAAAGTAGTCACTTGTATGCCTATGAAAGAGGAAAACAACTCACAGTATTTTAGATTGTCAAAGACATTTTTAAAGCCCTGAACATGCATATAAAAATTTAAATATAGAGTATATACATGTATAATTATATATACTGAATAGTTAAATTATTCCATTATAATATTTCATTATTTGACTGACATATCCAATTCTAAAACCACCCCTCAACATAGCTTTCTTACTGTATGAGAAAATGCCACATTTAACTAACATTCATTTAAAGTAATATATTCTACTCAGAAAAAAAAAAAAACAGATGATCCAGTCTAAAGAGAGATGGCATACCAGTCTTTCCTTGTTGTATATTAACTGGAAAATATACTGTTAAATTCATATGCTATCTGTTATTTGAAAGTCTGTCTGATAAATGGCATCATTAAGTGTCAGCTGTTCTTAATATTGATCCTCAATTGGTCTAGAGAGTTTCAATTCCCCTTGAGCAGCAAGAATAACCTGGGAATCAGAGCCTCCACTTAGAGATGCTTTGCATTTATGACACATGCTGACATGTTTGCTGTAAAATGCCTTGAATTCCTTCCTTTATAGCAATTCCTTTCAGCACATTTTATAAAATGCTACAGGATTATTACCTGCTTGTCCCTGACATAGGCTGCTTTTAAGAAAGAATTCTATAGAGCAGTGACAATTATTTCAGAGTTACAATGATCCCAATATTATCATGCACTAGTCTGTCAGGAAGCTTATATACTTCATTAAAAACATTCTGCCTGTTGGGTTCTTTCGAGCATATGCAGCCTTTCCCTGACACTTGTACAAATGAACTATATTCTGTTTGTGCAGGATGCTATTGGAAAGAACCAACAAGACAAAGTCATTAAAATCAAGCTCAGAAAGCTAATCCAGCTATTTCTCTTTCTAAAAGCACACACTTTTAATTTAGGAAACCAAGTCTGGTAAGAGGAAACTTTAATAAATACACAAAGGTACCCCAACAAAAAATCATACTTACTGCAAAAAGAAAACAAAAATCAAGGGCTAACTGCCGGCAATAAAAGCAAGAGCAATTTCAGCCAGAGAGTCTTTGATCTCACTAAACATTCCTGGTGGAAGTAAACAGTTTTGATTTTTTTATTAGAAAGGCAATGAATAACGTATTCCATCCACTGGACTTGCTTTTATCAAATAAAATGGCACAGAACACGTTACCTTAGCAACGGAAGGTGACGCCAGCCTTAGCCTCTTTGTATCCTCCACTGTGAAGGAAGAAAAGGACCAGTTTCCTATGTAAAACTTTGGCAGAAAACCATCCCCATCAAAATCTACATGTAAGTGTCACGTGGATCCATTATCCATTCCCCTGTCCCCACCCATCTCTTATGCAGAGAAGTGTCATAATTACTAAAATAATGATTTTTGGTTTAATAATTTATTTGTATAGCCCCAAGTCCCAGTTTGACTTGTAATGACAACAGAATTATATGATTAAATACTTAATATGATAAGAAAGTTGTGTAAAAATTGTTGGGGGTACCACTTCTTACCATAATGCTGTCTAGGGTTGTAGGGAAGGGTCATTTTAGCTAGCACATGTTAAATATCCTCCTGTTATAATTATTACAAAGATCAGCTATCGGCATCTAGGCTGAAAATAACTCTCTTGCCTTCTGTGAATCAGTCACTAGAAGATGCTTTAAAAGCTGTCTGAAATTTCCAAGCTTTCAAAAGGAGCATTATAACATAAATCTTTTGAGAGATTCCCGCATCCGCACCCCAACCCCTGCCAACAGAAAGGTAGCCAAAAAAGATATATAAAAGGAAGAGTCTTAAAGTTAGCAGGTACTCACCAGCACTTGTTGGCCGCTTTCAACAGGACACTGAGCATAAAAGGAAGCTGTGCACGATGCTGAGCCTGCAAGCCCAAATGAACAGTTTCTAATTTTCCCTTCAATCTCAATTCAAGAGCATGAGCAGGGGAAGGTGATGGATTTGCCCATTTTATATTGTGATGAAATGCAACCCCTGAAAAAGATCTGAGTGGAGCTGCTCTTTAGAACACATTAGACTGCTAATTTAAGAAAATTGAAAGGTTTTGTTTTACTGTCTTTTATGTGTTCTCTCTGCTACCCCCTCAATTTAATTTGCATTTAAAATTATGCTTCTGTCTCCTCGGTTCTCCAAGGTGTGGAGTACTTTCTAATCACGACTGATGCTTGGGTAGGGTTTGGTGCAACGCCACTTTTATTCTGAGCTGCAAAGCAAAGTGGGTAATTATAATTGCGAGCAATATTCTGGAGTTAAATACAGAGTGCACATTTGATTTCACACATTTCCCTTTATCCTGGCCTTTCTTCCTCTTCCAGCCTCTCTCTGCTCGGTCAAATCTTTTGCCCACATCATACCAATCTGTCTATGTGTATTCATCTCTGTCTGAATGTAGCAAAATAACCCTAACACCAAACAACAAACAAACAAACAAACAAACAAAACCTTTGGTTAGATACCTGAACTTATGTTGGTTGGATATCCTATCGAACCTCAGTAAGGATTTTTAGTCACAATACTTGAGGTCTGCTCATGAAAGGTATAATAATTGCCAAATATAAGTCCTCTAATGGGTTTTCTACAACCTTGTCGAATCCTTTGTTGACCAAGCAGAATTGGTAATAAGAATTACATGGTGTGGGATTATTTGGGTTGTTAAAATAAAAGAAGCTACATTTGAGAAGCCTTGAAAGGGAGACCACCAGACTCTTTCCCTCCCATGTACATAGGTATGCTGACAGGTATGCTGACAAACATAAAAAATATCCTGCTATTTGTCCTGTGGGTTTTTCTATTCATGCAGAACAAATTAGACATAAAGTTGGTGCTGAAGAGAGTTAATCTGATGAACGAGGTACTGAAACTACCAATTATAGGCCCTTGTAGGAAAAGTCAAAAGTCAACTCTGGACTCAGAATGCAGACATACATTGGAGATAATGGGAATTTGATTTAAGACCAGCATGATACAGTGAGTCATAATCTTTTTGTTGTTAGAGGATCTTGCCTTGAATTTGTAAAAAACAAACAAACAAATAAACAAACAAACAAAAACAAGCCATGCAATGCCTGTGGAGTGCAATAAAGCAAAGCACAACAAAATGAGGTATGCCTGTGCTCAAAGCTTTGCCCAGATCCAGGGACTTAACTTTTCTAAGGTTACATTTCTATTCAGCCCCCAATGGAGACATGCTGAACACTTGACATTTGCAAGAGAAAGCTGTCTTCTGGTTCCTTTAGCTTACAGTACAGTGTGGGCGACAGGTTCTGAACTCTCTATTGTGATTCTACTGAATTGTAATGACTCATAGGAGAGAGAGAGAAAGAGAGAGAGAGAGGGAGAAAGAGAATACACAATCACCAAAAGACAAACACCAAACACCAATTATTTAGGTGAACACAAATGAATGTGTGATTTACAGAGATACTAAATTGGAAAGTTGAAAAATAGAGTTGATTTCCAGGGGTTGGGGGATGGGTGTAGAAGTCAGTCAGTTCTGAAGAGTTGACCAAGAAAAAGAAATTTAAAATGTCTTACATATAATGTGAAAGGGTCACAATTTAAGAAAACTCAGAGAGGAAAATTTCAACTTAGAAAAAAAGAAATGTATTTGGAAAGGAGATGATTGATTATTCACTTGCAAAAAGATGTCATTTTGCTAAATAATTAATGACTGGGTTCTTTAAAATAAATTGACCAGTTTCTGAACTACATCTTCAAAAAAGTAATTTTACTCTCTAGGGAACATAGTTGTAGCTTATATATAGAAATATCTGTATGAGGGATTGTCTTAAGGGGGGAAGCATTGCAGTGTTCAAAAGCCGATGTCAAAATCTGATCAGCTCAATTCTGTTTTATAACTTTAACCAAAAGCAACATTTATAATGGCCCATTGTTTGGAGGTATAATAGAACCAGGCAGAGAAGAAGGCAAGGTTAGAGCAAGAATTCAGACTAACATTTATGCAGTACTGAACAATACTGCATAATACATAACAATACAGCCCACAACATCCTCAAGACATCAGTTCTAAAAGTTAACTCAGTGGTAACATCTCAGTGACTTAGAAATATTTTTTAAAAAGCCAAAGTATAATATGATCTTTTAATCAGTGCTACACTACTTTTAATCAGGTATTACACTATGAAAGTTTAGAACTGTAAGGCTGAAACAATATAGGATGATTAAAAATACAAGACCTAGAGATGTGTATACATTTCTGTTTGTTTTGGCAGTAAAAGGATGTGTCTATATAGAGAAGGGAAGAAGTATTTGACTAATTCAAAGTGGAAGCATCTATCAAGATGGAGTATAAAGACTGGTAAAAATATTAGCTGTGTTAATTTCTTTGAGGTGTACTTATTTATTCTCTTGGACAGCACTAGACCCAAACATTCTGGGAAAGAAGGTCACATAATTTGTAAGTAAGTACAGTGCTTTTTTTGCTCTTTTTATATCATTTGATTGACTTTTATCAGAGTCAGTCTGGGTTTTACTGTTTGCTAAGAGATAAAGAAATTTGTGTTATGACAATATTATAATTAACTTTACATGTTTAACTGCCTTAATGGCCTTTAAAAAAAAATTCCAGAGCTCTCTAAAAGACCATGTTTTACATTTGCATTGGAATGCATAAAGTTCTGCTCTCTACTGGCATGAAATCTTTGGGAAGTTTCTCTTTGCCCAACAAAACTAATTTAATTTTAAAATATTAGAGGCTCTTTTAAAGTATGGGGACATTTTGTATCCGTTGGTGGGGTAGAGTTGGGGGGAAATCCCAAAATCTAAATTCAGGACTGACTCCAAAGAACTGGCATGTAGCTTTATTGAATTTTATAAGAGTTTTATTAGGAAAAACTTAAATACATGGACAAAGCTGCTGTTCCCAGTGGTGGCCCAGTAGTGGCCAACATGGTCTCTTTTTATAGGAGGTTCTTAATAAATGTGGTAGGTAGTCAACTAGGTCACCAGAAAACAATGTGTTCTTAAGTTGACAGATAACATCAGGCAGTTATCACACTCTGTACCTTCATTCACCTCCTTCCTAGGGGACATTTATCTTTGGGTAGCATTCTGGTTTTCTGGGTTGTCAGCCAAGGCTGAGTCTGTAGACAGTTAAATAGTCTGAGAGAATTAAACAGAGAGTAGAGTCCAAAATTCCCCAGACACTTATGCTGCTGGAGCCATGTTGCATCTAAAGTGAGTTTCCCTAGAAGTAGCTAGGTTGAAGATGTTTGCTTAAGAACTAGCTTGCTAAACACATATAAAAACAATATATTTATTCATTAAATAGATTTATATATTTATAAAAACAAATAATTGCCCTCACAATTGTGTTTTAATAGCAGTGGTATTGCTCTGCTTGGCAAGTCACTCTCTTACCTCTCAATTCATCACTCAAAAAACAAAAAAAATCTCTT